TTGCTATTTCAAGAGAAACTACATGGATCAGTGTAGCTGAAGCAAAATTTATCTTTGTGTTTTGACCTCTTTTTTGCCTTAACTTTATTGAAATACCAGTTGAAAATTCTAGAAAATAAAGCTCATGGTTATTATTAATAATTTAGAACACTTGCTTTGTAGTTATAACCCCATCAACAAGTCCTCTTGGCTCTTCCTCCAAAGTAATTCAGTCCATTCCTCTTTGTCCATTATTATCACTAGTCCAATCCAATATAACCTCTCACCTGGACTTCTACATTGGTCGTCTAATTCCTCTACTGTGGGTGAAAGGATATACTTGATATAATTATTCAAATAAGATCAGAGATTAGTAGTTGAAGTACAATTTGGATTTTGAATAAAATAAAGGAAACCAAGCAACATTTTACAAATAAGAGTGTCTTCATTTCATCAGAATGTGAGATAGGCTGAAAAGTGGTTGTTCTGTAGTCCATTGCCAAAGTGAAGAATAGAACTTTAGTTTGAAGTATTTTTGAAAATAATATTAAAGAACTAATTGTCAGATTTGACTTTTTAGATAAATCACTGAGAACAAATGCTTTTCAACTAAGTATTTAAAGAAGTTCAAGAGTGAAATTTCTGAGTTTGTGGCAATAAGCATAAGTTGTCATTGTAAATGACTGTTGTGTCAGAGACTATTAGACGGCAAATACGATGCCCAGAAAGAGTAAAAATCCCAACAGAGTCTTGAATTTTAATTCCATGATGGCAAATATTATTTTTATTTTCCACATTTATTAGAATGGGCTTCTATTATTTACATGATCAGGAAAAAAATAGTTTATTATTTAAATAGAAGAATGTGATTTGGTTTCTTGCTCTTAAGTCACTTTTATCTAAGGAAGGGATGACAAGTGCAAATTTTATGCTACAAGGCAGAGTATGACAAAGTTTATAAGAGCTGTCATTAGTCTTTTGGAAGTGGTTGCATGTTTTAGATAAGAGTTACACTGCTTTTATTTGGGAGAGGAGGACATTTGAAGGCTGGGAGGTTATGAGATTAAAAACACAGGTGAAAATGTTAACCTTGGCAAGAATGAAGGTTTGTGGAAAAAAAAAAGATGTCTTTACTGTACTAAGTCACAAACACGACTGGCAATAGGTTATGGTAAAGGGGGAAGATATGGAAGCGATACTTAAGTTAACTGTTAGATATTTGAAAATTTGTGTGCAAGGAATCTGTGAGATCAGTTGCCCCTGACCAGAGGGTTAGCTTATAAATATTAATTAAAATAATAATTTTTGAAGAAACTCAGAAATGAAGCGAAAATACCTAATTTCACGCTCCTAAAATAACTACTAGAGTTTTTCTATGTTCTTTAATATTATATAAATTTTAATATTTTTAAAATATAAGATATGCCTGAGAAGCATTATACAAATTATATGAGAATTAGTAAGATTCATAGATGATGAAATAAGAGTCTGTGCCCTGAAGAGAATAACTAATACTTCCACATTCTGAAGTCAAAATATACCCTAAGCTTCTACATTGGGTATTTTACTCCTTGGGTATTCCAAGTCTTATAGAATCTAGTATAAAGTTCTTAAATTTCCCAGTTTACTGCATAATTAGATGAGAAAGAAAAATCAGGATCCTATAGTAAAATAGACAAATTATTATTGGGAACTTAAATTTAGGTTTTGACCCACTTCTACCTTTGTGACTTTGTAACGCCACTGAACTTCAAATGTGTTGAGCTTTAAATGAATGAGCCAAGTTCACAAACATTGAATCTAAACCTAATATGTCTAAGTTATGAGCTATGTTTCTGGTATATCGTTACACTTACATTATTTTTGTTGTTGTTGTTAAGCTGAGCCATCCTGCCACCTCTTGGCAGCTCAGCGGTTGCTCAGCTCGGACTAGGTTTCAAACTGCTGTTGTTCAGAACTCAAACTCTTGAGCGAGCTCTTAACCAACAGCCACTCGGCCGGCCCTCTTAGACTTACATTCTTGATAAACCAAATGACCTTCAATCTAGTATTGATTCTATCTCTCCAGCTTGGTTCCCACTGTAATAAGCTTCCTCCGCATCTTGGGATGCACGTCATGCTTATTTATAGTAGAGGTACTTGTTCCAGCCCATCCCAGGAGGAGGATTCCAATGCGATATTTATGTCAGCTCAGCCTTTGGGCACCCACACCTCCACTGAACTGTTCTCTGAGTTGAAGATTGGTAAGAATTGGGCCCAAACCAGAATTAGAGCCTCTGAATAAGCTTTTTAATAAAAAGCTTAGAATGGTTGCCTATATAGCTGAAGGTTTTCAGAGCTTCTATATAAAGAATCATTTTGACCCCAATAAAGAGAATTATGGTTGACCATGTAAATTTTACTTTTTCCCCAGGTGCTACCTGGCTTTGAATTACCAGGATGACAGCTATTTCAATTTAAAATTCTTTGTTGTAATAATTAATATTCACATAGTGTTTATTATATGTCAGGCATTGTTTACATTTATTAAAGGCGGGTTCTGTAACTTCTCAAAGTCATACCGCTAGTAAGTTGTTGAACCAGGATCCAACTTACAAAAGTTTGACTGTAGTCTTCTCACTTAACCACACCATACAGCTCTAAAAGTGTATAGCTGACTCACAGAAGACTTGTGTCCAGAATATATAAAGAACTTCAAAAAATCAGTAACAAAAGACAGCATAATAAAAAAAAATGATCAAAAGGCTTAAAAAGAAGGGATATAAATGGCCAATAAGCATATGAAAAGATGCTCAACATCACGAGTCATCAGGAAAATGGAAATTAAAACCACAAATAGGTTACCCCAATATATACTCACTACAATGAATAAAATTTAGAAGTCTGAAAACACCAAATGTTGGCAAAGCTTCAGAGCAACTGAAGTTATACATTACTGATAGGAATGTATAATGGTACAACCACTTTGGAAAACAGTTTATTAGTTTATAGTTAAACATACTACTCTACGACCCATCAATCTCATTCCTAGGTAATTAAGAGAAATAAAACACCTGTGTCTATAAAAAAGACTTGTACTAAATTGTTTATAACAGCTTTACTCATAATAGTCAACAAGTAGGACCAATCCAAATGCCCATCAATGTAATACAGAAAAATACAATATATTTATTCAGTGAGAGGACTACCTCGCAATAAAA